ACAGAATTTTGTATTTTATCTTCCACCTGAGCACTGGGTGACATTCTCTTTTCACCGTATGGTACAGGCTGTTAAAACCTTTCCTCTGTCTAAGGTTTCCCTAATATGTTGGTCCAGACAGACTGGGTTTTATAGACGGTGTGAAGCTATATGCGTTTTTTCACTGTTAAGTGCACTCGTAGCAACGTTCCATGTCGCTGCAGATCGGGTATAGATTAACTTGCCAGACGGATGAATTGGCCAATAAACGTGCAGCGTGATCGTCCAATATAGTGATGGGTGTTTTAGTGTTTTCACATATTGTAGGTATTATTATATTATTATAAGAAAACACATCCAAGACTTCATATATATCGTTACGCAAGTAAAATAACGTTGTGCTCGGTGCATCGCGCCGCGGAATTTGTCAATCTAACTCCAGAAAAGTAAGTTGGACCCAGGGTAATTTAAAAGTGGACGACATCTTTTCCGCCGTTTCCTTTTTTAAATGATTAAAAAGCAGTCTATAATAATATAATAATAAGTACAATACATGAAAACATGGAAACGCCTGGTAGTCTGTTAGACGATTATGCTGCAGGTTTATCCGCCTGTTGCTTTAGATAGTCTCTCAATATTACTTGAAGAATGGACGCACACCATTCAAATTGCTCTGCGAATTGAAACATTTGCGTATGGATGGTAGGGATCACGAAGAGGCAGCAATTTGCCCGTCCGAAGTCGGCCAAGCTGTAATAGCAGAGGGGAAGATAGTGCTTCGGGGTAACTTGTTACATAAATCTTTCAGGCTTATTTGCATTCATTCAGTCAAAAGAATGGCAGCTAGCGAGACACTGATGAACTTCGGTTCGATTAAGAAATTACGGCCCATCCACTAGGCCCAGTCTGTATAGTATCTGCGCCGTAGGCAAGCGCATTGTTGGGTTTCCAATCCCAACTGGAAAGTGGGGTTACTATTGACTGAATGAAGGCGGAATAAGCCTGAAGCAAACTGTAGCAATCTACTCACGTATTCTGTCACCCCTCTCCTTTGCAATCGTAGCTTGACCGACTACCGCCTGGTAGTGGATTGTCCGTTCGTAACCTCTACCACCCATGTTTTCTCGCCTCAGGAAGCCCATAGATGGGTGTGCCTGTTGTAACCAAGTGTGTTTCTGTGTCAACACCGGTTATGTTCCCCCAGTACATGTTAGGAAGAGAAGTCAGGATAGGATAACTGATGCTACTTTACTGTCACTTGTACAAGTACATCAAC